GCCCGCCCGGCTTCCGCGGCGCGCGCTGCGAGCTGCCCTGCACCCCGGGCCGTTACGGGCCGCAGTGCCGCGACAGGTGAGCCGGGCGGCGCAGCGATGGGGGGATGCGGCTGAGAAGGGAGGGAGGAGGGTGTGCGAAGGATCCAGCCTCGCTCACCACTTTCATCCGATTACTGTTAAACAAAAGATACTACTACTAGCAAGCCGTGCTTAGAAACAGATTTTAAAAAATGAATCACGTGGCAAAATGATTTCAGGGTCCTTCTGAGACTCAGTGGCTTTCAAACTTCGACCAATTGCACTTCAACAGTAAGAAACGTTTTACATAGCATTATATATATACATAACTGAAGTAAAAGTTTATCCAGACAACACATACATATACCAAAATGTTTTCTTTCTCTTTTTTTTTTTTTTTTTTGCTGGGGTAGAGGTCATTATGTTTATTAATCTATTTATTAATTTTTAATGGAGGTATTGAGGATTGAGCCCAGAACTTCATGCATGCTAAGCATGCACTCTATCACTGAGCTATATTCTTCCCCCATTTTTTTAAAGCTGGTCAGAGCCGCCAAATTGATCTTACGAACTCCCCTCCTCCCCTTCCTAATGAGTCTGATCCAAGCATATGATCCAAGGTAGTTAAAGGAGTATCTCTAGAGGGAGAAACTTCAAGTAACTGTTAAAGATCAATGAGAAGTTAAGGTAAGATAAACCTTATTGGAAAAGTTGCTTAAAGACTAGATCCTAAGAGTTCTCTTTACAAGGAGAAACCTTTTTTTCCCCACTCTTTTGTATTCATATGAGATGATGGATGTTAAGTGACCTTTTGGTGGTAATCATTTCACAATATATATGTGAGGTCGTTATGCTGTATGCTTTAAACTTATACAGTGCTATATGTCAATTATAACTCAATAAAATTGGAAAAAATTTAAGAAAAACTTAAAATTATAGTGGTGAAAACACATTTTTATCATTTTCATAATGCATAAAATGGGATAGAGGATAAACTACCGAGGTCAGTTCATGCCAGACCTCTGAGATGGCATGGGTGGAAGAGAGAAAAGGAGGAGGAGGAGGAAGGGAACACTGGACAGAAGGGAGGCAGAGGTTGGAGTGGTAACTTGGCTGCCCTGGCTGGGCTGGGAGCTCCTGGTGACCCTGGGACCTACGGAAGGATGGGGCTACGAATGAGGGATTAGGAGAGGGCTGGAATCCCATTAGACCCTGCAGAGATAGCCTGTCCAGCCTCTTTGTTGTACAGCATGGGGAAACTGAGGCTCAGATCTACCTGAGTGACCAAGCTGAGGGAAGGGGATGCTCTCCAGTGCCCCTGGAGGCCTGGGCAGGCGCCTCACCTGTCCGCCTCCCCGCGTTCCCATGACGGTCTTCTCTTCCCAGCTGTGGCCACTGCAAGCAGAATGAGCCATGCTCTGCAGACACAGGCAGCTGTGAGTCCTGCGAGCCAGGCTGGAATGGGACCCAGTGCCACCAGCCCTGCCCTCCTGGCACCTTTGGCGAGAACTGCAGGCAGCAGTGCCCCCACTGCCGGCTTGGGGAGGCCTGTCAGCCAGACACTGGGCAGTGTCAGCGCTGTGACCCTGGCTGGCTGGGGCCCAGGTGAGAAGGCTGGCTTGCTCTGGGTGGGGTACATCTTCCTTCTGGAGCCTCACCCTAGCTGCTCCCTCTGGGATAGCTGCCCCTCCAACGCACACATTCACACAGCCCTGTGGGTTCTACCTCCGGTGAAGACTGAGGGGAAAGAGATGGTGCTGATGAGGTCCTGGGCAGGGGTCTCCTCCAGCTTCCTCACCTCCCAAGTTTCCCGCTGTCTTCTCTGTCCAGTGATCTATAGCCTGTTATCTGTTGGGTTTGCACCTGAGCTTCACTGCTGAGGAGTAGACAGTTGGGTCTCTGAATCTAGAAGTGTCGGGGAAGGTGGGTAGGACCCCCCTCTGGGGGCCAGGCCTGCCCTGCCCCCCTATTCTGACTCTTGCCTCACCTCAGGTGTGAAGACCCCTGCCCGATTGGCACCTTTGGGGAAGGCTGTGGCTCTACCTGTCTGCCCTGTGCCCAGGGGGCCTGTGATGCTGTGACTGGGGAGTGTGTCTGCAATGCCGGCTACTGGGGACCCAGGTAAGTACGGGGGCCCTGGAAGGAGGCAGGGGCCTAGGTCAGGCCTCTGTGCAACCTGCTTCCTAAACTTCCCTTCCTGGGCTTCTCCACCTCCCAAATATCCACCCAGCATCCTCATAACGAAAAAGTTATTCCTCCTGTTGTGGGGTCTGCATCTTTCAAAGGAGGGTCAGAGTAATGCTTAATCTAAAAAGCCTGGCTTCCTAACTAGATGGGGCTTCCAAAGTAGAAGTTATGTAGGGGTAGGGCTCCAGACCCTAACGTTTCTCTAAGGTCTTCAGATAGTAAAACATAATCAATGTTAATGTCTCCAGTGTCAAGTTTTCCCCCATAGGACAGAATGTCCTCATTTTATACAGAGACCTCATTTTATAGAGGAGGGAACAAAGGCCCAGAGATTTAGGCGCAGCCCTCGGCCTGGCTCAGACATCCAAACCCTGAGGAAGTTTCTCTGGATTCCATTAGCGTATTGCTTATTTCACACTAGGGCTGGGTGGGAAGGGATGAGGATCATGGGAGTTGGACCCTGTCTGAGGCTTACACCTTGGAGGAGCTGAGAGCCAGGAAGCAGCTTGTAGGTGGTCTTTATGGAAGATGGGCACAGGGGCAGAGGGGTTCTTCCAAACACTGCCAGAGGTGCTTAGAATGTGGCTCGGAGATCAGAGGCGTCTATATAGGCTTCATCCGGGGAAGTCTGTGTAGCAGGGAGTGGGGAGCAGTGCCCAGAAATCTACCTTCCCCATCCGCTGCCCGCCTCCATGCCTTCTAACCCAGCCTTCAGCCTGTCTCTCTTTGTCACCCCAAAGCTGCAACACTTCGTGCCCATCTGGCTTCCATGGAAACAACTGCTCTGTTCCCTGCGAATGCCCCGAGGGAACCTGCCACCCGGTCTCTGGGGCCTGCCAGCTGGGTAAGGTGGAAGGGAGAATATAGGGTGCAGTAACCAGGGAAAGATCAGCCCTTTTATGGGCTCCAGGGCCTCACAACTTGCCAGGAAGGCTGGGCTCATGTCAGAGACATTTCCTTTACCTGAAATTGGTATGAATGCTTCGAGGCCTCCTGAAGATGTCACAGAGCCCCTGTCCCCTGAGAAACCAGGCTAGCACCCAATGGAAATGAGCAGGGAGGGCTGGACACTGGGATGTGCATCAAGCCTGAAAACTGGGCAGCAAGAGTTTGTAGAACAGGCCATGGACCATCAGGAGGGGACCGACCAGCAGGGAGGCTGCTTAGAGGAGGGGGCCTCCAGGCTGGCAGAGTCTACATCTCTCAGAAGATGGGGAGAGATCCACGGGTGGAAGATTCTGGGAAGCAGGCAGTTCAGAGCTAGAGATGAGACATAATTGTGGGAGACAGGGAGGCCCTGAGTATTGGCCCGTCCTCTATTCTCCCTAGGATCTCACAGCCAGGATGCCGCCCTCATCGCGGGCATCCTCGTGCCTCTGCTGCTGCTCCTCCTGGCCATCGCCTGCTGTGCCTGCTGCTGCTGGGCTGCCCGGTTGGACCCCAAGGACAGGTAAACACTGGTCTGTCCTTTCCCGACCCCACAGCTCAGGCCATGGGTGGCATTTGGTTTCCTTTCAGGGGTGGGGAAGGGCTGGCCTTGTCACACACTGAGTTCAGAGGTAATGAGGTAGTTGGCAGTGGCTATGGCCTGGAGACACCAAGTCAGCCACCTGCCTTCCTCAGCACCCTTCAGGGGGGAAGTTTCTGAGTCACACAGGAGCAGGGGCCCTGGGTGCCAAGCTGGCAGAACGCAGAAGCGTCAGGAGAGCTCTAAGCAGGGAGGGGAAGAGACCAGGCCTCAAACCCCCGCCAAGGGAGAGTACCATAAAACTCTGAGCAGTGGTTTAGCAGAGAATGTGGCTTTCCCAGAAAAGGAGAGGGGAGGAGGGATTCGGGCTTGCAGCCCACTGTAGGGGAACGTTCCTTGCAAGGAGCTTTGTTCCTTTACAAGATCTCTTCACACTTCTTGGCTCCTTGGAGACTCACAGCAGCATGGAGCTTTGGAGCAGGGCATGTGGGGTAGGAGGATTAGCGTTCTCAATTCACAGGAGGACATGGGCCCAAGGTGACCCAGCTAGTCACTGGCATGCATGAAGCCTGTGCCCCATTTTCCGGACTCTTTGTCCAGTGCTTCCTTATTAGTTCATGCACTAACCCTTGAGCATGTTTCCCTCTATGCTGGGCAGGAGTCTCAGAAGAGCAGACCCAGTAGCCCCTCCCCTGGGGTATAGAGCCTGGGGGAGGGGAGAAGCCCCTCATAGGAGGGCCAGGACATGTGCACAGTTTGTCTGAAGAATGGTAATGAGTGAAGCAGTCACTTCCAGCCTGGGGGTGGGGACAAGGGCAGGTTTCCTGGAGGTGGTGCCACTTTCAGAAGGAGAGGAGAGCTGGGGCTCAGCTAGGGTGATAATAGCACATTGCTGCATTTGGGGGCAGCCCGCCAAGTATCCGGTGTGCTGTCCTGAAAAAAGCTGTGATAGATAGGAGTTGTTGTCCCCATTTTATGGATAAGGAAACTGAAGCCCAGAGAGCCCAAGTCTGAGCCAGAGTTGCTACCTTGTGACTCCAGAACTACGCTGCCCTCTGTGACAGTCCCGAATCTCAGGGTCTGTAGTTTGGATCTTACTTTGTAGCCACAGGGAGCCGTTGAAGTAGACCCAGTCACTCTGAGTAACCCAGGACCAGGAAGGTCCTGGCCCTCTTCTCCTGCCCCTACCCGGCCCCAGCCAGGAGTCTCCTGTGCTAACCACTCTCCTATGCCCTCAGGCCAGCAGGAGATGGAACTGCTCTGTCCAGGATGAAGCTGCAGGTCTGGGGGGCACTGACCTCCAGCCTGGGCTCTGCGCTGCCCTGCGGTTCCCTCAGCAGCCACAAGCTTCCCTGGGTGACAGGTAAGTGGGAACTGAGCTTCAGGGGCTGCGAGGGGATAAGGATTCCCATCGGGCTCTGCGCCTGACCCCGAGCCCCCCGCAGTCTCGCACCACGACCCGGAGATCCCCTTCAACCACAGCTTCATCGAGCCGCCCTCTGCCGGCTGGGCCTCGGATGACTCTTTCTCTTCTGATCCTGAGTCTGGAGAAGAGGACGAGGGTCCTGCCTACTGCGTGCCACCCCATGAAGGTAGCCCCCATCCAGCCCACTCAGCCCCAGAGCAGCCTCTTCTTTATTCCTTCAACAAATGTGTAACAAGCGCCCATTCTGTGCTAGTCTCTGTTCCTGGCTGGGGGACATGGTAAAGAACAAGACAGGTTCCTGTCCTCACCAAGCTTATAGTCTGGTGGGCAGTAATCAGACATTGTAGGACAGAGTAATAGATGCTTCTATGGGGGAGACACAAGTAGGGGCTCGTAATTCAGCCATGTTGGGGGTGACTGGGGTCAGGGAAGATGGCTCAGTGTTAGTGATACTGAGTTGAGCAGAATCAGTAGCTGTTAGCCCAGTGAAAGTTAGGGAGAGGTCGGAATGATGTTTCAAGGAGGGAACAGTGAACATAAAGGCTCAGAGGTGAGAGGGACATGGCTGTGTGGCCTTGAAAGATCTTCAGTGTGGTTAGAGTGTGGCATTAGTGCAAAGTAGGAAGGGGTGGTGAGAAGAGAGGGCAGAAGCATGAGCGTCTGCCTGAATAGGCCCTTCCCCTGCCTCTCTGCATCTTCACCCTCTCCCTTGCCCCATTTCTGGGGCCTCCCAGAAGATGCTAAGCTGGGTAAGCAGAATGGAAGAGGGTGGCCAGCCCAGCTTTGGCCAAGCTCTTCTGTCTCCTCTGCCAGGGATGGTCCCTGTAGCCCAAGCAGAGTCACCAGAGGCCAGCCTGGCCGGAGGCCCCTTCCCTCCTCCTGAGGACGCCTCCACACCATTCGCCATCCCGCGCACATCCAGCCTTGCGCGGGCCAAACGGCCCTCAGTCTCCTTTGCTGAAGGTACCAAGTTTGCACCACAGAGTCGCCGAAGCTCAGGGGAGCTCTCCAGCCCACTCCGAAAGCCCAAGAGGCTCTCCCGGGGGACCCAGCCAGGTCCTGAAAATCAGGAGGCCGAGGAGCCCACGAGCCCAGAGCAAACGGAAACAGACGGCGCTCCTCCTGGTGCTGCCAGCCCCAGGGATTCAGCCATTGGCCGCCGCCGGCTCCCGCTTGCTGGCCGGACAGTGGCTGAGCGTGTGGAAGCCATCGAGGGCAGTGTCCAGGAGGGCTCAGGCTCTGTGACCACGATCTACATGCTAGCAGGGACACCGCAGGGATCTGAGGGCCCCGTCCGGTCTGTCCTCCGCCGTTTTGGTAGCTTCCAGAAAGGCCAGGCAGAGCCCAGGGTCAAGAGTGCCATCCCTAAGCCTCCACGCAGGGCCCTGAGTCGGAACAAGGGCAGCCCCGGGCTGGCCCCTGGCTCTGCCAATCTGAGCCCCAGCTCAGCCCCGAAAGAGGAGCTGCCTGGGACCTTAGAGTCTGCAGGGACCAGGCCAGAGGAAGTGGCCAGGGGGTTGGGGGATGGCACCAAAGCTCAGAGAGGGGCCAGGAGCTGGCCCCTGGGGATGGTCCCCTGGAACAAGATCCCCAGAAGCTGACTGGCGAGGAAGGGCAGGAGGAGCCCCAGTATGAGAATGTTGTACCCATCTCTGGGCTACCAGAGCCCAGAGGACCTTGAATTTCATGAGTGGTAAGATGATGGATAGGGGTAGGCATCCAAACTGCCCAGGATCAGATTGTATTCTGTGCTGGAAAAAGATTCTAGGGCCAGGAAAGACATACCAGCGCCTCTGTCTTTCCACAGGGACTCATCAGAGTTGAAGGCCAGTTGGCTCTGTGCCCTGGCAGTGCTCTGGGAGAGGTCTGGAAGGCCTGAGCAGAGGCTCCCCGAGGATGGGGTCAGGAAGGGGGAAGAGATGGCAGCAGGGACTTTTTCTCTGTTGTCCTGGACTCTGTTTGCCCCCAAAGGCTATCCTTTCCTTCACTTATAACATATTTTTCTGAAATGGGAAACAACCTAAATGTTTGACGACAAAAGATTGGTTAAAGAAATATTCCTTATGAAAGGTTCCTAAACAACCACAATAAATCATGTTGTGTAAGAATGTTTTTAATATGGGAGAATGTTTAGGTTCACTATACTGTTAAGTGTAAAATGCAACTTTTCTTTTTACAAATTTCATTCCTTTTTGCTTCAGAATACATGTTTAGAATGCTTCCGTTTTGTGTAGATTTTGTGACTTTTACGGACTTTCTTTTAAAACTATGTGTATGCATAAAAAAGATTCGAGGGAAAGGGGCCAAATGGCATTTTCCTCTGGGAGACGAGATTGTGGCTGGTATTTATTTTCTTCCTACATTTTTGCATAATTTGCAAATTTTCTACAATGAACAGTCTTTTTACTTTTCTCACTAGATTGAATTTTTAAGGAAATTTTAAAAGCTGTGTTCTTTGCTAAAAATAAAAAGTACTAACATTTCAGACATGTCTAAAGTAACAATGAGATTTCCCTTCCCAGAAGATTCTGAGGGATGAGGAAGGGGCTAGACTTAATTTTCACGGAGTGCCTGTTGGTCTTGTTCTGAATTCTTTCCTCACACACTTGTATTACCCAGTCAGGAAATAAAGAGCAAACCCCTCTGTCCCAGTGTGCAGAGAATCTCATGAACAGTCTAGATGCTTCCTTTCAGATGTTTTTCTGTGCATGTGAAAACAAAAGGGCGTACTGTTCCGGAATTTGCTTTTTTACTTAACAGTATATCCTGGCTATCTTTTGATGTCAGTAAATATAAAACTACCTCTTTTTTTTTTTATAGAAAATGGCTACATGGGATCCCATCAGGTGGAAATAACACAAGTTATTTTAACTATCCCCGACCTACAGGGATTTGTTTCTAATTGTTTTAATATAATAAATGATGATGCAGTGTACAACTTGGTCCATATACATATATATATAATTTTTTTTGCACTTGTGCTAGTTTTTCTGTAGAAGAGATTCCTAGAAGTGAAATTACTGCGTTATGGGGTAAGAACATCATAAACTGCCCTCCAAAGAAATTGTATGTCTTTGTGTTCTCATAAGTGATGTTGGTATCTATTTCCCCACACCCAATCTGATAGATTAAAAAAGGTATCTCATTGTTTTAGCACAATGAAAGTAAATAACTAAAGTAATAACATGTTAAAACTTCTTAAAAAGTTAAACTCTTTGTACAGATAAAAGTCTTTCATTTGTGTTTTCTAACCATCAAAAATGGTATCATTTAAATGTGAATTTCTATGATTATTCTAGGACTGACCTTCTTTCCATGTCTTTAACAGTTATTTGTATTCTTCCTATAGATGAGTTGGTTATATCCTTTCCCTAATTTCCTATTGAGTTGTTCCTCTTTTTCTCACTGATTTATAGATGCCTTTGTATGTATCAAGGATATTAATTCCTTGCCCAGTTTGTGATTGGTCTTTCAATGCTGTTTATAGTTTCTTTCTTCTTTTTCTCTATAGAAATTAAAATTTTACATTTAGACAAGTCTTTTTCTTTTTGACTTCTGGGTTTAATGTCATGTTTCACAGAAAGATGAAAAGATCTTCTCTACCTTAAAATCAGTGAAATAATCTTCTACATTTTCTTCTACTATAGGTTACGTGTGTACAATATGGTGACTGACAATCTTTAAAGATTATGCTCCATTTGTAGTTATTGTAAAATATTGGCTATATTTCCTGGGTTGAACTATACCTCTTTTTAGCTTATTTTATATGTAACAGTTTCTTTCTTTATGATTTGCCAGCAGTGCTGGTGTGGGGGCTTTAACACTCCTGACAAAAAGACTGACCAAAAAACCCAACCCTCCGGCATTTCAAATCTCAGTTCTGACATACTTATTTTGTGACTTTGGAAATGTTACTTAAAGCCTGTATTTTCATCTGAAAAATGGGGATGTGCCTATCTCCCACGGTTACTGTGGGAATTAAATGACACCAAGTATGTAAAGCACCTAGTAAATTTTTGGCTCTTATTAAGGGTCATTATTATTGGTATTACATCATTCTCCAGCTTTGTCACTAGAAGCTAATACCTTTCCCTCATTTCATTTGTTCAGGTTTTCTTTCAACAAACTCATATTGTACATCTGCTTTGTGCTTACTTCTATATTAAGGGCTGGTGATTCAAACCTGAATGAGACATGGTTTGTCTCAATAGGCGTTCTCAGTCAATGGGAAGAGGACGAGACAAACAGATTAGCCGATAATTATAAAATAAAGCAATCAGTGGACAAAGATAATGTAGAATATTGCGGGGAGTGGTTGGGGGAGGCTTCCTGGAAAAGGTGCTGTTCAAGAAGGGACTATGTCTGAGGGTCAGAGGTGAGAGAACAGCATCTGCAGGAACTACAAGTGAGTCCATGTGATTGGAGCATCTAGGAGTAGACCAGAGTCAGGAGACTCTGTGGGTCAGGTTGGAGAACTTGAACTTTATTGGGCAGGATAAATGGTAAAGAGTTTCTGAAGGATTTTAGCAAAGGTCAGATTTACCAAGGTTAGATTTGCATTTCCCAGAGCTCAGGGGATTGGGGTGGGGTGGAGAGATGGATTTGAGTGGCTGAGATTGGAGGCTGGATGAACAGCAGGTGCAGGCCTAGGGATGCAGCATGTGCAAATTAGATAAACACTTAGGAGATCCAGATTGTATTGGCGGGGTGGGGTTGGGGTGAAAGAAGAGGGTAAATAAGAGCAGGTGCCTAACAAGTATTTGTTGAAATGTTGGTTCACAATGTCTAACGTCAGTAGGTAATGGTGCTATTATCTGAAAAAGAATAGGAGGAACAGTTTTGGAGGGGAGGGAGAAATTTTCGGTTTAGAAAGGTGTTTGGAACAACTGCCTGGGGACAGCCCTCAGGGGGGCTCTAGGATGGAGGGAGAGAAGGACTGAAGTTTGTTAAGAGACAGCTGCAACCTAGTGAGCGGCTGAGATTCTTCAGAGTGGGTAATAGGATACGTAATCAGCCAGGATCCCCTAGCCCACAACGCCGGACGTGGTCTGAGCAAGGTTGCCAGCGGCGGGTTCACGGCGGCAGGGGGCGCACTCGGACTCAGGGACATGGAGCTGGAGGCTGCTGGGGCTCCCTTGGAATGATAAGCCAGCTCCCACCGCGTGCCAGAAAAACCAAACTCAATCTGGGGAAACCTAAGGCCTTCTGAGGTCGGGCTAGTGCCTTCCAGGGAATAGACCCAGTTGGGCAGCTGAACCTCCAGAGCCCAGGCTCCATCCCCCTGCTCTGGCACTTCCTCGGAGCAGGTCCACCTCACTGATCAGATCAGGAGCCCAGAGCCCTCACGACCCGACACGCTCTTTCGGAGTTCTAACTTGTGCTTGCAGCTTAGCGCTGCCCACTGGGTCGCAGTGCCCTTGCCTTAAGCAGGGAGCACCAAGAAGACTGGTCTAAATGGGGGTCCCTAAGGGGACTTAGGAGAGCAGGAACGGGGGGAGGGGTCAGCAAGAACGGATGGGGCACCTGAGGAAACGTCCTAGGGGGCAGACAAGCCCCAAACTCCCACCTGAGGATCCCCGAGGGTCACCTTCCAGGGACCGGGCAGAATGCACCCAGGAGTGGGATCGGTGAATCAGGAGAGCAGGGAAGAGGAACACCACGCCTGGACAGAGGTCCGGGGATCCGGGCTGTGGGGACAGCGCCTGGATAAGAGTCACTGGGAGCAGGAAAGCGAGGAATCGGGGCACAAAACCCGAGGCAGACGGATGGCAGCGTTGCGTGGGAAGGAGGCAATGGAAGCGGCGGTTACCGAACGACCCACGCGGAGCCAGAGCGTCGGGCGTGGTGCCCAGGGCAGTAAGGGGAGCTGGGGACTATGTGGCCGGCCGGAGGAGAGAGGAGTGCGGGAGCGGATCTTGATGCGCGAGAGGGACCGGCGTGCAGCTGGGGAAACCCCGGAGTCGCCGGAACGCCGAGCCGGGGACCCAATCCAGGGGAATGGCTTCGGGATGAGGCTCTGGAAAAGGCGATGACGCTGTGCCCCTTGGAGTTCCCAGCCCGACTGGCTGTGACTCCAGTTTAAGGCAGCAGAGCTACCCCTTAGCGCGCCGCTGTCCCCGACCCCCCCTAGCTCTCTTGTTTGTCTCCTAGTCCGGCCGGAACCGGCTTCTGCCCGCCGCGGGGTGGGCGGGTGGTTGCTGATTGGCCAATGCCTGTTTCTAGCCCCCACTCAGCCAATCAGCGTACCGCAGTGTTTCATCTTAGGGTCGGAATAAAAGGACTGGAATAAAAGGGGGGGCAGAAAAGGCGCCGGCCGGGCCCGATACACACTCAGTAGGAGCCGGGTGAGTTGGATCCTGGACACCTGGGCCCCGGGCAAGTGGGCTGGGGGTGGGGGTAGCGGGTAAAAGGCGCACGAGTGAGGGCGTAGAGAGATGTGTGAATATGAAAGAAGAAAGACTGAATGGATGAGGAGCTGCCAAGGAAGAAAAAACGAATGGAGAAGGGAGCTAGGGGATTGGAGGGGGAAGGGGCCCGCTTCCATGGAAACGAGCTAATTGCCGAGGAAACGGCCCGGGATGGGGGGTCGCGCGGGTGGCTCGCGCCGCCGGTTTGAACCGGCTTCGCCTCTCCCATGCGGGGTTCGCGTGGCCGCAGCGCCTAGCGACCTAGAGAGCGGCCAATGGCGCGGCAGTTCCTGTACCATCAGGCCAATGAGCGGGCCGTGGGCGGGCCGTTCCGGAGCTCCGTGAGCTGATCTTGTGGTTGAGGGAACCCAGTCTGGGGAAGGGTCGTCAGTGCGGGCGGGCGGGCGCTGGAGAGGGCCCCAGGGAGTGGCAACCTTCAGGTATGCTCCAGCCCAGGTATCCGGACCTCAAGCTGCCTCCCCGGACAGCCCCCAAGCTAGTCGGTCCTGCTGAGAGCCAGGACTAATTCCACGTCCCCGAGCAGGCGTTAGTCCCTTCTTGTTTCCATGCCTCAGTTTCCCTTCGAGTGAGCAGAGGGAGAAGTCTTCCTGCCTGGACAGGGCAGTTCTTCGAAGCTGAGGGCAGGCGGACTAGCTAGCGGCGGAGAGGGTGGCCCTGGGCCCGGGGAGGGCTGGGGCTTCCTTCGCTGCGCGCACTTGTCTCCAGGGCCGCGGAGAGGTGACAGGCTCCGCGCGCTGCGGCAGCGGCTCGGGCTGGCCGCCCCGGCTGGGCAGGGCCGGGCGCTGACGCCGAGGTCTGTGCGCAGGTGGCTGCAGAGTCAGAGCCGGAGCCAGAGCAGGGCCGCCGCGCCGCGCCGCGCCATGGCGCCCACCCTGGCCACTGCCCATCGGCGCCGCTGGTGGATGGCCTGCACCGCCGTGTTGGAAAACCTCCTCTTCTCGGCAGTCCTCCTGGGCTGGGGCTCGCTGCTCATCATGCTCAAGTCGGAGGGCTTTTACTCCTACCTATGTACTGAGCCAGGTGAGACGGGCTCTTGGGCTCGGGGTGGTTCCTGGAGTGGGGGCTTTGTGAGAGAGCCTGATGGCGGTGTAGACCTAGCCAGCGATACCACCTCACTGCGCAGCAATTCCCAGTTAGCAAAAGGCTCATTTGATCCTCTTCATCCAGCTTTGCTGGATACATGTTATTGTTTCTGTTTTGTGGGTAAGAAACCAAGGCTGAGACAGATCTTCTGCCTTGCCTAAGACCACACAGCTGGGGACTGTGACAGATCCAGAACCTCCAAGTGCAGGGTGTTCTTTCCACCACCTGGGAACATGACTGCACTCCTCTCCTCCCAGTGCCTGGCACATCACTTGCCTTGCAGTAAACATGTTACTCCCTGACTGTAAGAAAGAGGAACTCCTGACTCAGTAGCTGTGGTGCAGCAAGAGAGAGGAAGTGGCTTGGCCTCCACCCCATGGTTCATCTAGAATCTAGATGTTTTTCAGTTAGGCGGGTATGGAGTCTCTTAAGGGCTTGTCGGATACAATTTCTTGTCTATTTTTGCTGCTTTGTGATTTTTCCAAAGGACATTTCCTCCCACAGGCTGTGAGAACATCTCTGTGGCCTTCTGCCCCCTTGGTGGGGAGGGGAAGACGGGCAAGAGGCATATTTATGGAAATGACACTAGGTCTGTTCTCTTTCTTTGCCACACACTGGTGTTGCTGAATGAAGGCTGAGGATACTTGTCTACAAGAAATCTAACCCCCATCCCTGCCTTCACACCTGCTGACCTTGTTTGAGCATCCTGATTGCTGAAGGTCAGTGGGTTCAGCCTAACAGTGGGACCCAAGTGGCTCCCACCCTCTAAACCTTCTACCCCTCTTCCTAGGCAGCCTTGATAGGAAATGTTTCCCTCTGCCCTCTCGCTGTCCCCAACAGTGGCTACCCAATGGTTGAATTCAGTAATGCCTCTCTCCAGTACCTTTGTCCACCAGCCCCTGCCTGAGTCCCCTTGAATGGAAATAGCCCAAGTCTGAGCCCATGAATTACACCACTGACATGCCTTTTTATTCTTGAGTTCTAACTTTAGGTGAAGAGGAAGCCTTAGATCAGCTCATGCTGCCTGTAACCGAGTGTAGAATACTCCCTGTTCCCTAATCTGATCTTCCCAGGAGATTCCTGAGCATTCCAGTCTCTAGGGAAGCTTTCCTGGGAGAGATTAAGGACAGGAGAAAGGGAGGGGATGCTGAGGCGCCTGGGAGAGGGCAGAGAGTATATCATTTATAACCTTTAGCCTTTAGCCACTCAGAAATGTTTCCTAATAGCCTGAGGGTTCTTGGCAGATCTTTCCCCACATCAGCAAGAAATCTTGGGAGATTGGAGAGTCACTCAGACCTTGTTCCTTGAACAAGCTTTTTGCTTTGCCCAAGAGATGTTAGGTGATTAATGACTCTCTGGAAGGAACAGGTTGGAATATATGGTGGCCTCCTCTCCCTACCTCTCTCCTCCTTTGTAGATCATGACCCTTCCTGCTTGCCTCTGTTGGAGGCCTTCTTTCAGGCTGCACAGAGGGATTAAAAACAGAAAGAAGCATCATCATCCCCAGATGAAGCTTTTAGCATCTCATCCAGACTGGAGGACTACTGTGGTCAATTTTTTTTTGGACCCGCTATGGTGTCAGAAGATCAGAGTCCAAGGTTTTTTCCCCTACCACATTGTCCACTGATTTAATTTATTTTATGGTCTTGACAGCATTGGGGCTGTTCACTTCATTCCTGCCCCAACCTAGGCTTCTTTCTTCATGGAAGTGGGAGGAGTCCCAGTGATTATGCCGACGCAGCGCTGAGTTGGTGTTTAAGCCCTTGCAAGCCTTACCGGGTCCCTCCTGTAAACCAAAGTGAAGGTGAAGGGTCAGGATTGTGGGTTGAACATCAACTTCTTATCCCGTGCCTTTGTTCCGGCCTCTGATTTTGGTTTTTCTGACTATCTGGCAAACCCGCTGACCCAGCATCCTCGGCGGACAGGCTTGCTGATTCCACACAGCTTATCTCTCTGGCCTCCCTGCTCCGTGTTTCTTGGAGTCTGAGTAACCTGTTGCCTGTTAGGGCCAGGAATCCCCATGCCTTGCCTGGCTGGGAGTGCCTGGAGGATTTAGGGTCAAGATTTCTGCTTAAGCCTGATATTTTCATACTTGGTGGACAGCTGAATTGCAGAGAAACAGGCCATTTATTATGTTTATTGAATTAGGCTTGTGAAAAGCTGACCAGTCTACAGTTGCTTGAGATGCAAATGTGTCAGCTTTTTGTTGTTTTTAAGACTGATGCTTTGGTTTGTTCTTGAAAAAAAATATGCCTGAACCTGTTGAAAGGTTCTCAGAACTCTTTCTCGGGACTCCAGCCAGAATCCGGCCATAGACACGGTGTTGGGTTCCAGCTTGCTGAGGTGGGGGAAGGAAAGGCCTGGTTCATCTGGTAGTCAGGATTGATGACAGAGGCTCGGGCCGGGGACCTGGGGCTGGGCATTCGGCTTTGCCTCCCCAGTCCCCTTGGTGTGGACAGGGCCCCCAGCCCAGGCTTTCCCAGTATTGTGTCCTTTGGCCCCTGGATGGCTGCTGTCACCACCCAGGCCCGACCTCTTTCTTCATTTTCTCTGTCCACTGGTGGCCCACTGTGACAGGGTCAGCTCAGGGGGCTGGTGCTACCTGTGGATGTTTAATCTCCTCTTTCATCTGACCTACACATGCAGTAAACATTTTCTGAGGTACTGTGCTGCAGGCAGAGCAGTCTGGGCCCTCAGGGAGTCTGCAATCTGCCAGCATCGAAGAGTCATCACACACAGACCTATATAATTCTAAGCGGTGGTCAGACCACAATGGAGAGCAAGGTGCCTGAGGCAGGAGCCACAGTGGGGATCTGGTTCAGCTTGGGTGGGGGCTCTCTGATGTTTAGGCAGAAGCGTGGAGGGCCAGAAGGGGTGAACCGGGAGAGGAGGGGGCAGACTGCGTGTTGGAGGAGAAGAGAGAAAGGACAGGTGGGCAGGAAATGACTGGAGTGATGGGAAGGGGCTAGAGCCTGCAAGAGGCCCTGGGGAGAATGGATTTTATCCTCAAGGCTGGAAGAAGCAATGGCGGTAGAGGAGATGGCCAAATTCACCTATTAGCCTCTTAATGAATTGTTGAGGGCTTGCCACATGCCAGGCACTGGGTGGGGTGGGGACTGTGAAGGTGGGAGATGTGGTCTCTGTCCGAGGAAGTCACAGTGCAGCCCAGCCGTGGACACTAAGGTCAACCCCAGTCTGTATTTTGATCCCCACAGTCACTCTGCTTGAGGTGGTGGAGGAGCTGTACCCCTTACTGAAAAAAAGCAGGAAATGGCCCCCGGGCCCCAACAGAATAGGACCAGGCCTGGTCCCCACCAGGCTGGGCTGAGGCTGCAGATGTGGGCAGGGGACGGTCCCTGACACTTCAAGGCCCTCCCCTTTTTGTGATCTCCTCCCACGCACAAAGGCCACTGGTGACAGCCTTTGAAAACTTATCCTTTCACTTTTGTTTCTGTGAATAGGACTGTTTTCCCTCCCCCCCCCAGTTTCTTTTGAATTTCTTCTTTGGTAAATCTGTAGTCGGGGAAGAAGTTCTACAGTCTGGGCCCTCAGCCTTGGGATGTGTCACAGAGGAGTTTATGGCCTTTAGCCCTCCCTATCAACCCTTCCTCCGTCTCATGACCTAATTTCCCTCCTCCACATCCGCTGGCCCCACTTGGCTTCTTGGTGTCCCATTAAGGTCCCGTCTAGCTTGGATGGCTTTCAGGGACATCTTGGGGTCAGTCCCATTCTCACTAGGTGACATTAAAGGCCACCTGACATTGCCCCTGATGCTGACAGCCTTGTGTCTATCCTATGGGCATTTTCTGTCTAAAATGCCTCTAACCTATGTGGCACAGCATTGTAACAACCTGAAGATTAAAAGCAGGAGCTTTGAGGTCTGACAGCCTTGATTCAAGTCCAGCTTCCCCATGTAACTGTCTATGGGACCTTGGGCAAGACCTTACCTGCCTGACACTCCCTGTATCCTGATGCGGAATACGGGGTGGAAGTGGGAGGGCGCTCAGTGACACAGGAGCCAATAGCACTGAACACAGCAGCCAGCACACACTGGCACACTGAGACCATGACTAGGAGGCCAGGCCCTGGCCCACTCAGTGCGGCCCTCTGACTGTGTCCTGCCTCTTGTTTGCTGTGTCCGATGCTGACCTCTCACTTACATACCCCCTGCCAGACTGAGATGCTGCTTCCTGTTGCCGGATAGACTAAGGATTTGAGTGAGACAGGAGATCCTGGGGCAGAGACCATCAGCAGAGTTCCAGGGACCTGCGCTCTGGGTGTAGGGGGTGCGACTTGGGCATTTGGAGGGGTCCCCAGCCCCTTGCTCCCTCAAGCATCATCTGGTCAGCTGTTGTGGTTTGTTTCCCTGGGGTTGGGGGAGCCCCTCTGTGACTCAGGGAGGACAGGGGAGCTTCATTGGAGTCCCAGCACCCTCTTTTCTCCCCTGCTTTCTCCATAAGGATTTTGTGCACAAGTTCTGTAAGTGAGGCTGAACAGGGCAGGCATTGTTCTCTCTGTCCTGGTGTCCTCCTAAGCAGCCTTATGCCTGATCTCTGCACACAGTGGACATCCCAATTCCTTGCCTGTCCTCTGGGTCACCTTCCCCGGCTAGGGCTGGGCTGGGCCACTCTGGCTGCTTCTGTAATAAACAGGTGCAGGTGAGGCACCGAGAAGGCTGGGCTGGGGTGAAGGCCGAGTTCCAGGCTGGGAGCAGAGGGGCACCCGGGGGCTTGGCATTTCCTGGATGCTTATCAATTTGTGCCTCTCCTGGCCCACAGTGGCCCAGGTGGGAGCAGAGGGACAGGAGCAGCCTGGGTGTGACCGTGTTTAGGCATCAGCTAGATCTGTGATTCGTGTGGGCTGTTTACTGCCAACAAAGCTTCTGGGCTCACAGAAGGTTTAATTCCTTCTAGGGCAAGGGCACTCTCCTGTTGCTCCCTGGGCTGACTAGAGGCCACTCAGGCCCCCCACCCCCAGCTCATCTGTTGCTGGACATCACTGCCTGGAGCTCAGAGGGCAGAGGGCCAGGTGGCCCCATTGGCAGGGATTTAAGAGGAGGCTGGTGGCCCAAAGTGTCAGATCCCTGCCCCTGTCGTATGGCTCTAGGATGAAAGATGGGAGGGACAGATACCCTTCCCTCCCCTCTGACTTCTTTTCTCATGAGCCCCCCTGTCTAGTTGTGGGATGACCAGATGTCTAAACAATTCAAGATGTTTCTGTCCCCATCCCCACTTAATGCAAATTAGGGAGGCTGCTTTGGGGATGTTGCTTTGGGATTTTATCTTCTCCCTTTCCGGGAGTAGAGTCATGGGCTTAGGGGCCCAGCTGTGGTTCCTCTCTGGGGAAACTGGGAGCAGAGCCTCTACTCAGAGACCGTGCTGCCTCTCTACATCTGCTCCCCGTCCAGCCATGGCTCCCTGCTTGTAGCAGCAGACCCAGCAGCACTCCAGGCCCTGAGCAATTTTGTGTCCTCTGGCTCCAGACCCTGCATGGCCACAGTTGGGTCTCATAAGCCAGCGATCCTGGACCCTGGGGTGCCCTCTCCACCCGTCCGCTCTGTCCCAGCTGTGCTGGTCTGCTCGCATCTGCATACCAACCTGGAGGTGGCTATTCTTTGCAGAGACCCTGTCCTCCTGCTTCATGTCCACTTCCTGTTGCTGCTGGCAGAGCTGACACCTGACACCAGTGCCGACCTGTGAAGCTGCCCCACTATGGATGAGCAGCTCAGGTCCATCGGCCAAGGCAGTGTGTGTGACGGTTCTGAGCTGGATCCTGTGGGCTCAGATGACCTTGTTTGTCATGTGTTTTGGCTGCCAGCGTGGTGGGGCAGCTTTCAGAAAGCTGAGAGAAAGTGGCGGGGATGGAGGGATGGCAGCCTGACTTGTCAGGTTTTGTTTCTGTGGCTTCAGTGGGGTAACATGATGGCTATAACCTCCTCAAAGCCTCTCTGTCTTCACGTGGGTTCTGTGTGTCCTGTTCGGTTTCTTCTCTCTTAATCCTTTTGGCTAATATGAACTGATGTCACTGTTTTCATTCATTCAGTAAACAACTGCTGGGTACCAAGACCTAGGGGAGGTGCTGGGGACACAGGTGATGAGAACACAGTCCCTGTCCTTCAGGGCCCCCAGCCCAGTGGGAGACTAGACACAGATTCATACTATGGATGAAATGTCAGCTGTGGAACTCTGCCCCCAGTTACCCTGCCCTGCTCACTGCCAGCCAGTTGCACCATTGCCCCCATTCTGAGCTTCCAATGACGGTAGTAGTAGTAGTTACAGTAGTTATAGTATTACCATTGTAATAACTTTTAACTATTGTTTATCAACCACTTTCTGTGCCTGTGTGAGCTCTACAATGTTACCTGGATTTTCTCATTTACCTTCCCCAAAACTCTTGGGTGGTAGATACGCTTATTAGATTGTGGACATTTTACAGATAAAGAAACTGAGGTAGACCAAGATGAAGTCATTTCTCCAAAGTTATACAAATAGGAAGTAGAGGAACCAAAATTGGAACCCAGAGGCCAGGTCCCAGCACTCCATCTTCAGTTTGGCCCCTGGGGGGGCCTGCTGGTCAGAGGTTGGCATATAGTGTGATTCACCCAAAGTGCATCTTTTTCTGTGACCTTGGGTCACCCTTGAAAGAGGCCTGAGCAAGCCTTGCAGACCTCAGCTTTACAGCCCTGGCGCCAGAGGGCCGCAGTTGGGAGGCCTGCAGTTACCTGAAGAGAGGCATTTCCTTGAGTCTCCCGGTATGACCTCGCGTCTAATCAGAGGCTGCTCCTCTCTCTGCAGGATTAGTCAGCATCTCTTAACTAGCAGTCCCAGAGAGGATAGAGGTCCTCAGCTGCGTGGCGGTCTGTCTGTCCTCCAGCCTCTCACCCTCCGCTGCCGCAGCACTTTTTCCTCCCTGTTCATTGTCCTGGTGCCGGATGGACTTTGGAGGGGGCCATTAAGGGCTGGGATTACCACACAGGTGTGGCCACAGGGGACAGTGACAGTGACACCAGGGAGAAAAAGAAGAAAGGTGCACTTCAACAAGTGAAAGCAAATTACTTGGGACTGCCTGTTTTCTTCTCTTTTTTAAAGGGGGTAGGGTGCAGCTCTGTGATAGAGTGCAGTGCTTAGTGTGCATGAGGCCTGGGATTCGATACCTGGTACCTCCATTAAAATAAATAAGTACATAAATAAATGAATAAATAAACCTAATTACCTCCCCCTCCAAATAAGAAACAAAAACAAAAACTTGTTTAAAAAAAAAAACCCACAAACCTTGCCCAAGGGTTCCATGACACAATGTATGTGGTGTTTGAAGCTGTGACAACACGATGAAGAGGTGGCGCAGGGACTGTGTGCTAGAGAGACCCGCCGTCCCGGGCGGTCAGGGGAGCCCCTCACTCTTCCCCTTGCTGACCGAGGAGAACCGGGGCAGCGCAGTGAGACCGACTGCTGCTTGTCCTTCCTGGGTGGTGTGGGGCCTCCTGTACCCTGGCTGCGGTCTGTGGGCAGAGCTGCCAAGAAGCTTCTAGCCAGCCTGGGGCCACAGACCACGTGGGTCCCGAGACCTGCTTTTCTAGGTGTAGGTTCCTCTGAAATGGGCCTCTCAACCTGGGGCTCATGAGTGCTTTAAGAGACACGTGAAGCCTCTGAAACTGTGGGTAAGACTTAGTGTGCATTTCCTTAGGAGCAGGCATGGAGCTTTCTTTACTGGATTCTCCTAAGCGTCTGTGACCCCCACAAAGGGGAAGAACCTCTGCATTATCTGTTGCTGCAGGGGCCTTGGGTGGGCCAGGTGAACGTCCCAGCCTGCTGGGGAGGAGCCTGAGTCCTCAAGGAGCCCAGAGCCAGCCCCTGGCATTCCCAGTAGAGTGACTCTGAATGGGCACCTGCCCCTCTGATCTTCGGGAATCCTGGCCACGACTGTGTGATCAGGTTTCCCTCCCTCTACACACAGAGAATGTCACCAACGGCACAGTTGGGGGCACAGCGGAGCCGGAGCACGAGGAGGTGAGCCGGATGAATGGCTGGCTCAGCTGCAAGGCCCAGGATGAGATGCTAAACTTGGCCTTCACCGTGGGTTCCTTCCTGCTCAGTGCCATCACCCTGCCTCTGGGCATCGTCATGGACAAGTATGGCCCAAGGAAGCTCAGGCTGCTGGGCAGGTCAGTGTGGGGTTGGGGGCTGGCAGGTGGGAACCGCCCCCTACCCCGCCGCTAAGATCCCTACGGTTGGGAATCCTGGCACCTGCTATCAGGTGCTCTGCGGAGCTCCCTACCTGCCTGCCCAGAGTGGGGTTCCTACCCTATCTGCCACCAAATCAATAGCTACTGTGATCCTTGCATTGTTCTAATCTGCATAAAAAAGGCACAGGGCTCAGGCCTGCCTGGGAGGGCCTGGAATTGCTGCTCGTCATTAAGAATACTGGTTTCCAGTCTTTCTGACCTTATACCTCCATAGGAAAAATGATTTTGAATACATACCTCTAATGTAAGCACAGGGAATTATCAAAAATATGCACACATGTCACTCTTAATGTTTTATGTGCTTTATTTTTCCTTCCAGTTTTTTAAAAATTATTTATTTATTTACTTATTTTGGGAGGGGAGGTATTTAGGTTTACTTATTTATTTTTAGAGGAGGTACTGGGGATCGAACCCAGGACCTTGTGTATACTAAGTATGAGCTCTACCACTTGAGCTATACCCTCCTCCCCTTTCCAGTTTTATTGAGATATAATTGATATACAGTGCTGTATAAGACTAAGGTGAACAATATAATGAATGATCTTACATATGTCATGAAATGATGACCACAATAAGTTTAGTGAGCATCCGTCATCTTATGTAGTGTTTTATGTACTTTATGATATGTATACAAAAAATATAAGTCAAAGTAGCTGAGCTTTAAAATCAGACAATAGAAAATTATAAAATTTCTAGAATTATAAAATAGTATTTCCCTACCCCTGGCACCCTAGTGGGTCATCTTATGTACCTCCTGGGATGTGTTTCTGGTTTATAAAGCCGCAGTCTTCCAGACTCAAGGTCAGTTCACCGAGCAGCTGGCCCTTTCAGGCCAGGATCCTCCCCCAGCCAGTCCCATCAGGAGTGAGCATTGTGCAGGGCAGTGGTTTGCAGTGAGCGAGACCTGTGGCCATGAAGGGAATGGGTGGAGTATCAGTGTCATTCATTCTTTGGAGCTTAAGAGGACTTGGTCCTCAGGTTAGAGCCAAGTAGAGGGGATTCGGAAGTTGCCACTCATCTCCTCTTGCCTGGAGGGGTTATGTCCATCCCCTGGCTGAGCGGGCACAGGAGCCTGGGGCATGGATTATATCTTCTCTCGCTTCACAGCTTGGTCCTCTCTAGTCTGGGGAATGGGGCAGTGCAGTGGGGTGTTTACCAGATCTAGCTTTGGGGCTGGAATTCCAGCTTAGCCACCTGCTAGCCAGGAGGCCTTGGAGAGTTTAGTTTTTTATTTGTTTGTTTTAGTTTTGTTTTTCTCAGCAGTCAAGTGGGAGTCAATTATACTCCTTAGAATTGTTAAATTAAATGAAAGAATATATGTAAATTTTTTGAAAGCATCTGATGCATAGCAAATAACCCCAAATGAACGATGTTACCAATAATAATAAACAATGTACTATTTTTGTTTCTTTTTAGTGCCTGCTTTGCTGTCTCCTGCTTGCTGATTGCATATGGAGCCAGTAACCCAAACTGTGAGTATGCTTTTCCTCTGTCCTTCGGTCAGGGACCAGGGAGAGAGGGCCCAGAGTTACTCACAGGCCCACCTGCTCTAGGAAGCAGGGCCAGGCCTTGGGTTCACTGCTCAAGTGAGAGGGACGCCTGTTAGGCCTTTATCCAGAGACTTATCTCAGATGGGTGGCTACTGGCTAAGAATAATTGCCCAGACAGACGTCTGAGAGAAGCTCCTAGAGGGTATGAAACTCCCATCTCATCACCCGCCAGGTCAGTCTCCTATGGCTTCACTGATGCCAGCCTGAGAACCAGGCCAGCTGCAAGGGTGTGTGCAGGGGTCGTGAGCTGAGCCCCCTCAAGGCAGCCCAGACCAGCACTTTAAAGATGACTTAGAAGCCACCTGGTCCCTAACCCTGTTCAGATGGAGCCATTGCTTCAGGGACTTTTAGAACAAACACCAAAACAGGACTTGAGTTTCCCCAAAATCTTAGCTGGGCTCATCTCCTGATTTGGGGGCACCTATATTTTTGGTCTCAGTGAAGCAGCTTCTTCAAGCCTCTCCTTTGCTGCTAAGGTTAGTGGAGAAAGGAGTACGGGGATGCACATTTTGCAAGTGCCCAAGCTCTGTAAAATAGGCAAGAGGAGGATGAGAAAGAGACTGGTCCAGCTCCCCAGGTGTCCGACACAAACACCTGATGGCTTGTCAGTCACTCAGCTGGCATTTGTTCGGGGCCGGCTCCTTGCCAGGCATTGGGTCAGGCCCTGGCCTCCCTGAAGCTCAGCCATGGTCTCCCACTTACAAGCTTTCTGCTTCCTTCCAGCCCTCTCTGTGCTCATCTTCATCGCTCTGGCTCTGAACGGCTTTGGTGGGATGTGCATGACGTTCACCTCATTAACAGTAGGTATTGATTTTTTTGAAGAAGATCTCTACCTCAGTCATCTTCTTGTGAATTTAAGGCAGGTTTTATTGGCTTTGATTTCCTTGCCTTCCATTTGCCTGCATCTGCCTGGGCATCCCAAGTAATAGAGGGTTGCTGGTGGTGAAGTTGTGGCAGCAAAGCCAGTCACAGCCTCCTAGGCTGGGGAGGTCCTGCAGGCAGACTTGAAGGCAGCAGAGTGTGGCTCTCAGAGCGACCCATCCCCTGCCTGTTTACTTTGATTTAGGTGCCAAGGAAGTTAGCTCACTAGCCACGTGCCCAGAGAAGACAGGACCAGAGAGAAAAAAAAACTGCTACCCACTTCCTTTTTTCATATTTTCCATGACATCTCTGGCTACCAGTGCATTCTAAATACAAACTTCCCTTGGAATCACCCTGCCTCTAACTATTGCTTTGCCTAGACCTGAATGAAAAACTCCGGGAAACACGTAGGCTGCCTCTCTTCTTGGTTTTCTAAATGCCAGGGCATGACAGCCCTTCTGGGGGGGGGATGCTTTCTCGAGATGCTGAGCCCCTTCTTATGGTAGCACCAGAACACCCCAAGGTATGCTTCTCATTGAAGTGGGTGAGGCTGCAGGAAGGTCGGGGTTGACAGAAAGTCAATTGAAAGCCAAAAAGTCTTGCCCAGAAGGCAGAAGGGAGCTGTCTGCAGGCTCACCTGGTCAGGCAGGCGTCCATTGGGAAAGAAGTGAGAATGCTAGGCTTTCAGAGATTTCTCTGTCCAACAGGAAAGTCTGGTCTGCCTCAATTTCCCTTTGAGAAAGTTTTTATGATACAATACCTACCATCACTATTTGCAGTGTGCCCTGGTTTCTGATTTCTTTCTGCTAATGAGTCAGGAGTCATTGCTGTCGAGGGGCCCTCACTTGGCTCTGAGGGAGCCCTGGGGACTTGCTGGTCTTCTTGTAAGGAGCTTGAAGAGGTACTGACATGTCTGTGACCCCTTGCCTGCAGGCTGTGAGCCAGAGGCCAGGCCTGACCCAGAGTCTCTTCTGTTCCCCTTCCATGTGCTTTGCCTTGTTAACTGTCCTGGTGGGAAGGACTGACTGCCTGGGTCTAGGATGGTGGAGTTGGAACACTTAGTGGAGTCTGTGTTAGGTGAGAAAGGCTTAGCACGCGACCACCTATGCTATGTACCCGGGGAGTGGGGGACACACACGTATCTGGTAGCTCTGGTTGCCTTGCCCCTGGTAGTGAGTGTGAAGGAGATTTACTTTGTATTCTTTTGTGCATTAAAAAAATTATTTATTTATTTTTTTTAAATATGGAATGCTTCACGAATTTGCGTGTCATCCTTACACAGGGGCCATGCTAATCTCTGCATTGTTTCTATTTTAGTATATGTGCTGCCTAAGTGAGCACTAAATTTTTATTTTTTTAACCAGGCAGATTTTTAAAAAATGGCTATATCTCCCTCCCTTTTAAATTCCCAGGGGAAAGCAAATGTTGAAACTATAAGAAACATGTTAGAACTGTTAAATATACACAGATTCCACTAAGTTGTATAAATTGTGAAGCAGGAGCCATGGTCCTGTTTGTTCTTTGACACTGTGAACACGATCAACTCTTTCATCAAAATGAAAAACAAAAATCTGGCATCACCCCCATTATTTGAGCCACACTATGCCTATGTCATGGCAGTTCTGAATTTTGGGATAAAAGAAAGAGGAGTTTATGCTCTGAAGTACAGAAAGATGCTTTATTGTAATAAAGGCTAAGACAAGTAGCTAAAAATCATCACCCCATGAATCTCCTTTAAGAAAGTCTTTAAAAGGAGTTCAGAGTTGTTGTCCAAGAAACCTTTAGGGGAGGCTTGTAGGCCCATAAAGATTCTTTTTCTTTTGTTCTTCTGATTATAAAACAAGAAGTTTTTATTTTAAGAAGTCACTGTTTAGTGTAAAATATGGACGGTAAAATTCTGTAAACCAACCTTCATCAGTTTAGAATATAATTCTTCAGTATTTTTTAAAAATCTGCACATACTAATGTTATTCTTTTTAAAAGGAATGCTGTTACAACGTGCCTTTTTCACTTAACAGTGTATCTTCTATTTCTTTCCCTGCCAGTCTTTAGAAAACCTACCTTATTGTTTAAACGCTGGAGGTTGGCCTCATTATTAAACAGTTCCATGTTACTCTGTAGTGCAGACGTGCCATCATTTATTTAACCAGTTTCCTGCTAATGGACTTTTGGGTTGGTTTCCAATTTTTCTGATTTATGATGCTACCAAATTGAACATCCCTGTTTGTGTATTTCTGTAAAATAAATTCCTAGAAGTGGGATTGCTGGGCCCCAGGATCAGCATGGTTTAAATTTTAATATAGACTGTCAAATGGTCTTCCCAAAATGTTATACATGGATACTAGCCTAGCAGCATGTCTGAGAGATTTTTCTCCATGCTCTTTTCAATACCCTGTCATTCATCTTTTAAACAGTAGCCCTTCTGATCTGGGAAAAAAATAATATACTGTGATTTTAAATTTTTTTCTTTAATTATTAGTGAGATGGGGCATCTTTTCACCTCTTTCTGTGATCGTTTGTATTTCTTCTGTGAATTGCTTCTTTGTGTCATTTGTATATTTTTCTATGGGGTTATTTCTCCTTTTTTTCAATTTTAGTGTTTTATAAGAGCTCTTTCATATATAAAAAATCAGTTCTCTTTCTGAGTGAGTAAGGGATCTTACCCTAGGGTTTTTAGGCCTTTAGGTGGTCCGTGAAAAAGCTTCAGGGGGGCTGGCCTTGCTCTTGAGGTCGTAATCAAGCAACTTGTGTGTGTGTGTGTGTGTGTGCGCGCGCCACACAGGTGCGTTTTTCTAGGGGAGGATCCGTTGCTTCCATCAGCCTCTGGTAGGCCTGTATGAAGGCCAGAAGTACAGGAGGAGTGTTCCTGTTAGCTCCTTGCTCTCCCATGGGGAGGTAAAGTCTGCACAGGCCAGGTAGGGACCAGGCAAGAAGACCATCTGGTCATTACCTAAAGCGTTCGGTTAGCAGGGATCTGTTTAAGGGAGGCTGGAGGCTTGTCCTTTCAGGTCCCCACTCCTGGGTCTAGAGCAGAGGTCAGCAAACTGCCACCCCCAGGCCACATCCAGACCACTGCAGTTTTCTGTAAACAAAGTTTTATTGGCACATAGCCGCTCCCACTCATTTCTGTCGTGCAGTGGCAGCAGAGTGAGGTAGTTGTACAGAAACCACATGGCCTACAAAACCTAAAGTAGTTACTCTCTGGCCCTTTACGGAAAAAGCTGGACCACCTTTGGTCCAGAGGTACCAGGACGCTGCTCCCTTCCCTGTCAGAAGGCAGGGCGGCCACCCAGCCCCCACCCCCACTCCCTGCCCAACCCCGCTTCTAGTAACATGGCCTGACTCCCTGAGCACTTTTTCTATCATCTCTTTCCCTCTCCACCACTTGTCCCTGGCCTGAGGGACCTCCTCAGGCATTCCTCTGTCCTGTGAGGCCTCAGATAAGGCCTCTGGTGGCCACTCCTTTCCAGAACAGACCCCAAAAGGGGAATGAGAAGCAGGTCAGCGAGGGTGGGGCTGGAGCTCTTGGGCAATGCTCTCGGGCTGGCCGAGGCTTCTGCTGAGCAGAGCTGAATCTCGTCCTGATACAGCCCAGGCCTTGAAAAAGCAGAACTGTCAGGATTGGCTCCGGGAGACGCCAAGCCGGCAGCACAATGGCACCTTCTGTCTGTGTCTCCCACCCATGTCCTAATTTGGGGGACAAAGGAGTCCTCAGGGTTGGCTTTAGGAGCTTCCTAAATCAAATCTCCTACGACAACTTTGGGGCCATGGATACTCTCTCTGTGATAACCTGGGAGTCTGAGGGGAGTGTGTTGCCAGGGAAACCTTAATTTGGGGACTTTCTGAGCCCCAAGGGGTTTTGTGTTGCATGGACTGTGGTATAAATAAAAATGACCAGGGACTGTGAGCTGTTAGTTACCCCACTGGTGGGGAGGGGGCTCCAAGTCGGCAGAATGCCTTTGCCCCACAGTCCGATAGATGTCTCTGCAGAGCCCGAGAGGGCTGTACTCATGGGTGATCCTGTCCCCTCGAGCAGAGGCTCAGAGGGCGAGGGTGGGTCCTGTGCCAGGTGGGCTGCCCAGAGGCTAGAAATGGGCTTCCCAGTTCCCTGCAGCAGAGAGCCCAGGCAAGTTAACATACTTGGAGGAGGACGGTGCCAGGTCAATGGTGGTGCAGGGCAGACCCCGAGGTGCCAAGCCTCAGCCTCCCCTCTGGACATCTGGACGACAGCACACTCTGGTCTGTTTGCTCAGTGCCTTGCATTTGTACAACTCTTTAACTCGCTTCATTGGCTGGAGGAAAACACCGGCCGGCGGCCGAGGTGGCGTCTCTGGGCCGCCACCCGACGATCCAGGACCTGGGTTGCTTAGAGATGGGAGCAGATGCCGCCAACACTGTGAACATGTCTTTTCCACTTCATTACTCTGACCCTTGTCAGTGTGGGTGGTACGGGGAGTTCTGAGCTGAAACCCTCCCAGAGAAGTGATTACAAAATGTTAGTAGGCTCCTTCATGAGATATTTCTCTATGGGCTTTTCCTGTTTGGTTCATTGAAGTCTTGCTTTGAACCTGAGGAAGAAATGATCCCATGGGAGTTGGGATCAGAGTTTGAAGAGAATGAAATAAATACTCCTTTTCAAACACCTAAGAGAAAGGGAGGGAAAGGATTTGGAGTACAGCAGGGAAGCAGATGCCCCCCAGGGTGTGTGTGTGGGAGTTTAGCATTCGTACTCAGCTAATCTGTTTCTACAGCCAGGAGAGGGTCCCCACAGCATCGCAGGTGCCCCAGGTGCCAGGTGAGCAGGGCTCTCCCAGTGCCTGGGGCCAGCTCTGCCTCTTGGTTTCTGTTCTGTGCCTTGAGAACCCAAAGCAATCAGCTGATCACCCACCGGCCTGGGAAAAATTCACCCGTCAGAGGGTTCTGCCTCGAGAAGTGGCCCCAGCACGTGACATGCTCAGGGGTGGACAGAGCATAGAGTGGGGGCACTGGCAGGGCTGGACCTGGCTGGGAAAGCGAATGAGGTGGCTGGGAGAGTGGAGTCTGTCCTCCCCACCCCTGCAGCAGTGAAGTGGAAAGGTGACCACAAGGACCTTCTTCTGGCAGTGTATGCTTAGAGCTGCCTGGTTGTGGGGGTTTAGAAAATAGCCCAGCTTTGCTAAGTCCACTTGTCCAGACTGGTACCTGGATCCTAGCCTAGGCAGGTTGCACAGAGCTCTGGGTGTGTACACCAGCCACCTGAGGACAAGACTTGCCTCTGGAAGGGGCCTGAGGGCCAGAATGCAAGCCCCAACTAGGGCTGCACATGGCATCTCCCCCAGCGCCAGGGTGTGCCCCCAGCTGGTGGGCTCAGGAGCTCACTGATTTGGAAAGTCAGTGCCAGGTGGCTACACAGTGACCCTTCTGTCCCTGCCTGCCAGCAACCCCAAGGCCTGTTTTGGGGGCCCTTGGGAAGAGAGACATCTTAACAAGGGTCCTCCAAGGAGAACAGCCCATCTTCACCATCCTGGAGCCTAGGCTTCTGGTGATTCTTGTCCAGTAGCTGTGCTCTGTGGCCAGCACTCCAGGGAGGGGCCGTCTGCAGCTGCTGTTTTCCCCTCTGGGAAGGTCACGCAGCCGGAGCCTGTTTACATTGCAGCCGAGGGGCTGAGAGAATGAGTCACCACCGGCTCACGCGGGGATGGCATCCCCATGTGAGCAAGGCCGGCATGGAGAGCCGTTCTGCCTGGCTGAACCCACTCCAGCCCCAGTCCTCCCTGACGCAGCAGAGGTGGTGGTGGGAAGCGCCCAGCACCAGGGGAGGGTTGAGGGTGGGGTGGGCTGCACTCCACCACCTGCAAGTGCAGTTATGAACCCCGAGTCAGGAAGCCGCCTCTGCTGAGTGTTTTCCCCACATCTGTCATTGCAACTCGGCTACAGCTTCCTACTTGGCAGCAGACCTGGTTCTTCCCCCTCCACCCGGCCCTTGAGCCAGCACTGGGGCACTCTGCTCAGTACTCAGCTGTCACTCACTCCATCACCAGGGCTTCTGAGTGGCCATTATATGCAGCTGAGTTCGGGTGGAGGCAGAAGGAGAGAGGAAGGAAGGGCGGGGCAGGGGGGATGTGGAGACCAGTGTGAAGGAGACTCAGGCATGAAGATGAAACAGTAGAGTCCACAGCCAAATGCGAATCTACTTGACAGTATGGCCCTGGACCATGTGGAGGTAGGCCAAGAAGGTCAAGGGGCGGGAAGGGGGCAGATATGCCTAAAAGGAGCATCAGAAAGGATGTAAGAAATCTCTAGCAGGGAGAGCAGACAGAATGCTTAATAAGGAACACATAGAGGTATGAGAGGTGAGGGTA